TTACACGTTAAACATTGAAAATTTGCCTAGTGAAATCTCATCACTAAAGTTCCCCTTTACAACAGATATGTAGACGACTTTTGAGAAGCATGAGGATATGGTTTGTCAACTAAAATAACTTGACACCATAACAAACTCATAACAGCCTGATACTTGAGCGTAAGTCAATAGTCATCATCTACCATTTCTCACATGTACTTTGGAGGTCTAGTTGAATGCCTCTTTAACAAAATCGATCAGATCTGTGTGCATCCAATTACTGACCCTAAAACACTTATACGCAGAGGATATCCGTTAACATTTATACATCCTTGTAGAAGTCAGGTAACACCCCTACTCCCCCCTTACAGAAGCGTCCACATATCACTCCATCATACACAGGGGGATTGAATAGTACAGTTTTAAGACGTAGGCTAAAATCATCCATTAGAAAAGTCTATTATTCAACTAAGCTTATCATTGTGGGAAAAACTGAAACACATACTTCTTCACAAACCCTAACACTACATCAGGGATCATGGCTCATATAATCTAACTTCGCGAACTAACCGAACAACAGTATATTTGTGGGGGGGGGGGAGGGGGGGGGCAATGGTTTATGTCTACTACACCAATCGTAATTTCGTTAAAATATTCATCCTCTAGTCTTTCGTCTTGGTAGATCTATTTATTTTCACTGGGATTGTAAGCATTACAGTGATAATATGCAGTTACTATTCAACTTCTTGGATGATAACCAATTATCTAAACACTATGTGTGAAAGGTTTTCAGAATGACATTTTAGAAAGAATGTACGCAAGGTTACTGAGTACATTTTGACTTCAATTTCGACGGCTCGTTTTATTCACAAAAAGCGATAACTGAATAATTCAGGAAATAAGATTATTTCATGCATACATGTATTTCTCATACAGTTTAGTCTTTTGTCGCATATGTTATCCTTTGGAAACTGTCTGAGAAATCGTTGTAACTTTGGAATCTAACTGCTTTGCTTCTGATTATGCATCAGAATCCTTCACCGCCTGTTGAAGTTTGGAAAGCCAGGTAGCATAACACCTATCATGTGATCGGTATGGCTTATTTTCTGGTGAGAAAAAACGACATATATGTCATTATCATTTTAGCTATCTTAGTGAGATAGCCGTAGTTTGGCAGACTAGCATTGATACTGGGTAGTGAATGAAAGTGAAGGGGCGGGGCGGGATTTGAACCAACAACCACCGGATTTCTGATCCAGCTGATCTACTAGACTCGACTGTCGAGCAGAATTGTGAATAAAGCAAGAAAAACAGTAATAGCAGAACAACCATGCATGTATTTCATGAATTTATCTCAGCTACTTTATACAATGTACTTTGATAAATCAACAATAATTTTTTACGAATTGGAATGGAAGGTAACAAAGATTTTGATTGACCAACATTGATGAAGTTGTTAACACTACTCAAAGGTGAACTATTTATACAGCGATATAATGGAACATATATATCTCGGAGGAGATTGTACAGAATGTTATTCTAGAATCAGTAAAAAGGACGTCATCGTTAAGTTTTTCACTGTATTGAGGGGAATAAGATGAATGCAACTCAGAAAGTGAGAGTAGGTTTTGATATAGATCGAAAAATAGAGTGCAAAATAACCAAGGGGCATGAGGTCATAAAATCTTGTACTTACAAATTTAGGGGATTAAAATTACCAAGGTAATGCAAGACTGACAACAGAATGTTTCTAAATACGTTGATCAGCAAACCATAAAATGGGTGGGTTTCCATTCTTCATTGATCACTTTAAATGACCTTAGTGTGTCGACTTTATATCCAGTATCAAGCGAATGGTAGGCGATTGCATTATTTAAACCGTGGGACACTTAAGAATCAAATTCTTCTGGATATTACTATTTATTGATATACTCGTAGTTCTCCGTTGTTTTGTTGGGTCGGATTACTCGACTTCTATTAGCATATGGGCTCCTATGCGGATGCCTCGATATTGTCTGAATGGTAATTTGGCTGGTTGTGACTACCAGAGGGATTCAAGATGCGCGTTTCGTTCTATTTGGGACTCGTCAGCTGTATGTACCTGCACCCCAGTGTGTGATGTTGTCACCTCTGGGAATCGAACCTCGTACCCATCACTTCAAATGCCAAGGTGTTATCTACTGTACCACGGAGGAACTATATCCACTTCTTCTGGATATGTTTAGAAATACGGACAAGAACCCTTCTCTCTGTTCTTCCATTGTATATGCTTTGACGCGTACATGTGAATTGGTAGATACGGTTGGCGGTAACAAGAGTTGGAAATTTGTCAAGTTTAGACTGTCTCAATGAGGATTTAGTCTGATATACACAGATTTATTTAACGACTGGATAGGTCATTCTTATTTCAGCACTCAGTCTATGATTCATCCTTATGGAGATTTCATCCCCTTTGAAGGCGAGGTGTAGATAGACAGGCATCCTGCTGTTTTGCCCTTAGTTCTTTTTTGTCCAACCGTACTTATCAATGAACGTTTGTAGGTAACCATTTTCGCGTAGACAGTTTTCGACAAAGGTCAATTCTTCCTTAATATTTTCTACAGAGCACAGTTTCCGCGTACAGTTGACTAGTGTTCTAACCAGACATTTTTTGTAACTGATTGGGCAAAAGCTGCTGAAGTTTAAATAAAGCTCACTCCACGTGTTTTTCTGATGAATGTATCTATGACCCTTTCGATTTGTATGACTCTATAGGCTGAGGTCTAGGAAGTGACATCTCTTCTCATGTTATATTGGAGTGCCCTTCACTAAAATAGTCAATAAATGATATACATGTTAACCATTATTCCATACGATAAATGTATTGTCAACATACGTAGGATGCTGTCTGGTTGACTGCATATTTTAGTTTAGTCTGTTTGAGACTTCATGTAAAGATATCAGCGAGGATCGCGCCCAGAAGGTTGTCTATAGTGACTCCATCGATTTTGAGGGTATAGGGTGTTATTGAATTGTAATTTTACATTCTTTGTTCATAGTTTGGAAGTGGAAGTAATTATGGATACTGATATATGGTATCTATTGTCTCTTCCAGTGGTATCTTTGTAAATAAGTATGATACATCCAAAACAAACCATAAAGATCCTTCACTACTTCTGCGAATTCATGAGTATCTTTCATACTGTGAACGGCTAGTTTTGTGCGAATGGCTTCTAAATGTTTTGCCAACCATCAATCAAGCTTGTGAAATGATAAGTTGACCATTGTTCTCATCTGGACATCAGCTTTGTGCACTTTTGGCAAGCCATTCAAATATGGTAACCGAGATCCATAAAATTTGAAGTCATTGTAGGTTGCTATGTCTGTTAGCTTCCTCTTCTACAGTTCTTTCAAATTTGTTGTCACTCATCTTTCTGCTGACTCTGTCATATCTTTCTTCGTACGATCAGTTAGGAATTTGGATGAATCGTCTAGGTTTGAAATTGTTATCACTTTGACTATCTGAGATAGCCGTGGTTTGACAGACTAGTATTGATACAGCGTGATGATTGAAGGTGAAATGAGTATTTGGACTGCTGTCGGATTCGAACTAGCGGCCACCGTATCATGAATTCACACGGTAGTCGGACAAAACCTTTGCTGATTGGAGTGAAATAAAAATATGATCAGCAGTCTGTCCTCGTAGCTCGTTCTGTGGTAGAGCTTCAAACAGGAAACTCGGTGGTGCCTGGTTGGAATCCAGCCGCGGTCCAAATTTTTATTTCACCCAGTATCGATTGACATTATCTTGTTCACTTATTTTCCTGTGTTCATTATGAAAACACTACTGTCTTTTTCAAGTAGAAGAATCACATTGTCTTCATTATTCATTAAATTATGCAACACTGTTTGGTGATTTTTAGATGATAAAACTTTAGATTTCGGAAACGGGGTAGTGATATATTGTTTAGCAATATCAGCTAACCGGGATTTTAACCAGCTTTGTTTTTCATCATCTACAGGTTTTAACTCAGACAACTGGTTGTATAGGTTCTCGAACTATATCTTTGTATCTATTCCATTGTTACACCTCTTAAGGGTATGAAATTTGAATCCAAATGAAAGTGCTTCTTCTTCGGTTCGGTTCGGTCTCAAGGTGGATAAGTTGTGTATGTACTTCTCAACATTTCCGGAATTACCATCACATGGTCGTTCTTTTACAAGGGTTCTAGTTAGGGTTTATTTCACTTCAATCATCAATGTTTTTGTCCGACTGTCATGTGAATTCGTGACCCGTTACTACCGATTGTTTGTATTCAAACTGTGTGCCCAGTTTGGACGTTTCACCCTCCTAATTGAATTAGAGAGGGAGAGTATCATATTGATTTTCATCTTGACTATCTGAGTGAGATAGCCATGGTTGGTTGGAGACCCTAGGTGATCACATGGCTCAGAACCGAAGTCAGTGGCACAGATGTATACACACATTATCCTCACCTTAACAACGCTATACTGAATCTCACCATTTTGTCACTCCTCTTTCCTTTCTTTTCGTACTTTATATTTCTCGACTGCATTCACTTATCTTCATCCTTCACCTCACTACCTTTAAACTTGATGTGGTGATATGAGGTGTGGCAACTCGGACCGTCACGCAGTAATGCCTGGTCCTATGTTGATGATGATGATAGCCATGGTTTGGCGAACCCGCATTAATACTGGATGATGATTGAGTTACACTATCAAGCAGAATACGGTTGTGGTGCGTTGGTCTATAAACTCGACTTGTATCCAATGGATTACTTGTTCGAACCGAGATTTGGACAGTAGGATAGTATCATTAGCTGTGACATACTAGGTGTCACTCATTGCCCTAGTGAATGAATGTGCTCGGAGTTGATGAGTTCCACTTTTTCTCTTTCTTATTATCTATGATGATTAAAAAGAATTTTTTTCTACATAGATTTTGTTTGTTGTTATAATTCGCTAATCAACTATCATTTTTTCATATATTTTTGTTGAAAATCTGATAATGATTATAGTTCAGAGGATATGTTTACTTTGAAAGCTGAATCACCTAGTGGTGAGAAAACGGAGATGGAGAATGATCAAAGATATTTCAATTGTCAAATCAATAAAAGAAATAGTACCAAGACTGATAATAGTACATCCTATTGTATTTCATCTACTGTCACTTCTTGTCTTACTTCAAGTCCAATGTATCATCAAACCTCAGTTAGATCTATTGGTCGTGGTAATATTGAAATGCCTGTATGCTGTTCTAATAATGTTGCCAATTCTATCACAACATCCCATATGAGTAATTCATCAACATTCATAACAACAGAATCTTCATCTCCTCCTGCGCTATCATCTACGACTACTACGCCTATTACTGCGTCTACGATGAATATATCTTCTTACTTTGCATCTGCGCCTTCATCTTCTACATCATCAATTGTCACATGTGCAAATATTGTCACTCTATCTGCAAATGATTCCTCTACAGTAATTGGTCAGAGTCATTCTCATTTACCTAGTTATAGAATAACGAATTCATCAGGCTTCCCTAAGTCATCTCAAAAGGTATTTATAAATGTCAAAATATTTTGGATTTTTGCGTGTTAAGTGATTTGGTTTTATTATTATTATTGTTATTATTTGTCCCCTGGGTTCCTAGTGGGACATAGGATTTCAGTAGCACACCTCCATTCCACTCTCTTCTCTGCAGTCTTTTCAACCTGGCTGCCCAACTCGACTACCCACAAGCTTTAATTTCTTCCTCACATAATCTCCTCCATGTCACCCTCGACTCAGACGCCAAACTCGTCGTTTCCCATTTGGATTCCACTCGAGTCCTTGGCTGGTTTGGTGCTTGATGTCCCCAATCGGCTTTCTCAGTGTATACCCAATCTATCTCCACTATCTTCTTCTGCATATTTGTTGGCAGCCATTCAGAGTTCCTTGTTGCTTATTCTTTCTAACCATCTGATTTTCAGTATGGAATGAGCATAAGCGGCAGCTGTTGTTGGGATTTATGTCCATAGTTTTTTGGAAATGCTTTTCGTGACTCGCCAAGTTTCTTAACCATATAACAGCACTGACTTGACATTGGTGTTGAAAATCCGAATCTTGTTCTTTGTTCTGAGTGCAGTAAATCTCTACACTGATTTCAGATTTGTGAAAGCCTGTCTTGCTATTTTTCCAATCCTTGTTTTGATCAGGAACAAAACGCACTCAGCAGCCACCTTGTATACATCATCTGTGCAGTAGGCAGTGAGCCACACCTATTGTATGTAGGCTACTGATACTATCTAGTTGCCTGAACGTCTGTGGGACGGCGTTCGGACCCATGACCCGTTGGTGATTAGTCATCTCCTTAAATCACTGAATCACAGCTCCACCATCTCATCAGTCTTAGAATTCAATGTTCAACCATTGGCTGAATAAGTTTTTTGAATCGTTTTTGACTTTTTCCAAGTTAGGTAGCGTGATATTACTGTTGACTCTCATCATGTAAGTTCAGTGTAACTCAGAAACCGAGATATAGGCTTATGCACCAGGTTATGTAACACATGACATGTGCAACAGTTTATTATGTAATTGAATTTATCATGTCCTAAGCAAGTAAGCAGCTAAGGGATTAGTAGCTGGGAGTTTAAATCAGTGAACAATAGTTCTACTACTCCAGACTTAAAGACATGAGTCTATATGTGTGATTTTAGAACTCCACTGTTGCATGATTTTCTGTGGTAATGTGTGCATATATTATTGGATTTCATGCATGAAGGATTTACTAACTATTGTCTCAACTCACTATATACTATGTTGGTCAATTTTTTCAGTCATTCTCATAAAAATTGATTTCTGATTTCTGAAAGAAAAGTAGCACTGAATTATTATATGTTACTGAATAATTTGTACTTTAAGCACATTCAAAGTACATTCATATTTCCATATCACACACACACACACACACTACATATTTTAGTGAAATTTTATCCAAGATAGATGCTTTCTGGATTATACGTAACCATAAAAAGGTACTACAACTCCGTAGCCGAACACCTTTCATGAGTTTTTCGAGAATTGTGTAAGCGATAATGAGATAATGGGATTCATCAGGTAGTCGGAATTATACACATAAATTCTACCATCAGACTGTGATTCTGTTTGTTTGTTCGAAATCTGTGTGTGTGTTTGTAAGAGAGAAACTGCTTAGTATAATCAATATGTCGGACTCCAATAGAACAAATCATTTGATAAATGAGCAACAGGTTCTGACATCCTGATCATACACTCTTCACACGTAGTAGTAACAATAAACATCGGGAGAAAGTTTATTTTTGTCGATGCCAAAGGTGTTTCTGAATAGGCATGAAAGATGATTTCTAAATATTTCTTCTTAAGAACATCCTCTGGATTATGTATAGATTTGTAAAAACCACATTTTCTGAAGCTCACAGAATATGAGGTTCAACCAGTTTTGATTTCATAGTTAATCCGTGAAATGTTCTGGATACCCAATCTTTGTCGAAATATTATGATTACAAAACACTGTGAAAAGTCAAGAGAAATGTAATATTCAACCCATCGAAGTATAAGCTCTCGATATTCTAATCAGGTGTACTCTGTGTAGATCTGAAATAATGTACTTAATCCTTGAATAACAACAAACTTTACTGTCAAACAGCACCATTCAAAGAACATCTGGGAGATTCCATTTATCTTGTGTCATTTCAAGTGTTGATATACTGTCGCGTCGTTGAAGTACGTACTGAATCACATTGTTTCAATCACTTTGAGGCTCAAATGTGATGTTTAGCGTGTTTATGCGTTTCTGTATTTCACAAAAATATAGGGAACTATTCCTGTACAAGCGACCATGCTTTTGAATCCCCTACAACTTCAGTGTTGGATGTCTGGAGTCAATGAGCAGGAAGCTCCCCCTGCTTGACCTAAGTTTTATAATTGCTGGCACGCACCAATCATGAGGAAACCGGTGTTTTCTTGGTAATTTGAACTTGTATCACTCGGTGCGGAAGTTGGAGACTATTCAGACCACAAATAAACCTTTCTATAAGAGACTGTATTATGTACACGAATTGGTTACTTGTGGATCGATCAAATCTTGCAATATGACCAATAAACTAAATGATTCGATTCTGTGATGCAGTATACTTTAGAGCTAGATGATAGGAGTCATCTGACAGGAAGCTGTGGACCTGTCTAGATACCTGCATCGGTCACTTGCTAGTGACCAGTTCATATACTCTATAATTTCTTCAAAGCCTTATTCACTATTTGGTTTTCAACCGGAGTATATACTCAAATATAACACCCATATAATAGGAGTCTACCAGGAGTACCAATCAAGGTATAATGAAAGAAAAAAAAGTAGTTCAACGAATGAACTCTGTTTAAGCAATTTCGCTCTCAAAGCTGAATAATAAATTTTCACATTTTTCCTATGCTTATCTATGTTATATTCAGTAGTTAATAATGATCTATCAAACGTGGTAACCATTGAAATACCCGAAATTTCATTCTCACTATGAAAGAATCAAAATTAAAGCAAAATGTTCATTGAGTGAAAAAAACCTTTGCAACTATTAAATCCCAAGTGCCTAGCGTTAATCGTAATCTATCATTGAAGTATTCACAGTGTGTGACTGCTGGGCTAGTTTATGTGGTAACGTGGTAGTTTGGATTATGGTGTTGCATATGAAGAGTCTGCCGATCAACTCTGAAATGATATAACTACGTCGATTACCTTCCAATTAATAATTATTGTATACAGGCCAATCTTAGAGGTCAGTTAGGGCCTAAACAACTTAGTAGAAAGTTACTGAGCGAAGCAGATCCGAACTATCCAGAGAATATCAGTAAAGCCTGCTCTTGTTGATAAATACCAATGGACAATAAGTTTAAGTCCTAGGGCTTACTAACGTTTCACTCCTAAGCATAGCTAAAATTCTCAAGAATTGCTTACTGCTGAAATTATGTAGGTGGTTGACGCCTCCTGGCTGCCAACACTGTGGAAGGTTATTGCTTCTTAAGGTACTTGATATAGAGGGATTTTTCTAGCCTCCCAGCCCGTAGCACATCTGCTTGAAGCTTGTCACACCCAGCCTTTTACTGATTGTTGTTTCCAGATTTGGTTGTTCTAACTCCTGACAAAGAGAATCCATGCCGCTGGCATCGGAAGATTATGGAGCAGGGGATGTATAGTTTTTGGTGAGGGGGTGGCGACTTTTACATCATCGACTTGGCACTACAGGTCATCCAAGAGAAACACCTTATTACTGTCACCTCCATTCAGTCAGTAGTACGACTTCACTGTCGGACCCCAATAATTGTGTTGCAATTTACACTACAATGGTAGCTGCTTTTTGTCTTAACACTGTCCAACAGACCGTTCGCGTATGATAGGACCTCTAAGAAATTACCGTTTCAACCAGTATAGCTTTTTGTGTCATTGTGTTACGTAAGCCTGACCACCACCAGGAATTATCATGACAGTACAAACCGCCGGTGAGCTCGACTTCAAACGAGCGAAATGGTTGTCCAGTGGTCTGGCTGGCGAAGTCTCCAGATCAGCCTGATTAATGTTGTATACTATTATCGGGTAGTGAAAATATGGACAAAGTAATTATGAAAGTTTCTGTCATTTCCTTCAGACCATATAAAGGATAACATTATGCTACTTGTTAGCTATGTATTTGTGTGATATGTATGTAAGGCGATCAGTATAACTATGATATTCAAACTGATGTATATTACTGTAAAGTTAATCTCTTCTAATATTTCTCTTTTCAATTATTTATAAGTAATAGAAGTTGATCATTAATAACTGACAGGAAAAGTGTTGTTGAAATGGGATAATAATGCATGTATGCTTGTTTATCGTTGTATCTTTGTCACCAAAATGGTTCTAGGAGTTCTTTCTTATTCAGCTAAATTGTTAATGTGTTGAATATATGAGACAGTTGTGTGTGTGTGTGTGTGTGTTTGTGTATGTTGCATCAATTATTCAAGTGTTATCTGACTGTATTTGTTTAGTGTCTTTTGACATGAACTGGCAAATAAATATATACTATCATCTTGTAGATTGTTAAGCCCCAGTGTTACATATTAACAGGATTAAGAGGGAAAGCAAATCATTCTGAATTGGTAATATTCACTTATTGTTGACAATTGTTTTATGGTTAAGTCTATTGGATTCTATCTTCTCCTGTGAATAAATTCTATTGTCTTTTTTTTTTCTTTATTCTATACTGAATATGTATGTGTTATGAGATATTGAGAGGTCTCTTCAATTATTCATTGTTTATAGTGTAAAGAAATCACTTTTACGACCAGAAAAATAAACATATTACTGTTTTTTTCTCTTTTCATTTCAATGATAATTGTTGATTTCAACTTGGCATTCATCATGAATTGACATCAGTTGGAGGGATATTAGAAATCTGGGGAGCACTAAACAGCTGTTTCGTCCTATTTGGGGACTCCTCAGAGATATCTGCACTGATGACCTCACAAGGAGTCGAATCCAAGACATTCACGTTACGTGGCCAGCACGTTAC